TTAATTTTTGTAAACTTAAATGAGATGTAATAAACTCACTTGCCTTTAACTGACTGCAGTACTGTTTTAGACTCCCATCGGAGCTCAAAAAGGTGCTAGACTGACGATCGCGATTGATGGGGTTGATCGAATTGCATCAGAATCTTTTAAAACAAACTAATGCACTAGACAAACAACATTTTTTTAAATGAGATCCTTCATTAAAAAATGTTCGTAATACCAAAGTTTGTCTGAACATTTTGCTTTTCAATTGTTTGCCGTAACTGAAAAAATCTTAGGACTACTTATTCTGTCCGTGTGATCACCCGCCTTCTCCCTACAGTCACACACGTTTTTATTACTTCTGTATACTTCTGTATAAGTATACAACTGAAAATATTATTACTTATTATTTACAAATATAAAATAATTATAAATAACATCTTGTAAACAGTAAAAACACTCCTCACGTTACAATGTTATAATTCATGCAATCTCAGGCAAATTTATAATAATGTGTTTCTTAGCTTAGTGTTCATATTTACAAATTAAGAGCATGTTGTCTGTACTGTTATCAAAATGTTGAGAAACAGAGTTACAGGTCGAAACATTAGAGGCGTCCAAGGTATGATATGAACATTTTATCACTTCTGACTGTCAAGGTTGATGATTTGGAAGAATACGTTTAATAGGTTAAGGAATAAAACTTAACCAATAAAGCATTTTTAACCGCAGTGTTCGCAAATTCGGTACGTCATGTTTAACAGGACCGAAAATCCTGTAACGCTTAAAAAAAAAAACCTACCCTCCACAGTTCTGTAATGTCCAACCTGCCCATAAGACTACAGCTCGTTTCCCAGAGCTACTGAATATATATATAACCTTCCAGATGTTTTTCCTCGCCTGAATTAGTTATTATCTGAAAAGATATCCGCAAGCGTCACTTCTGCAGTGTTCCGCGAGAGGTCGACAGGAGCAAGCGTTCTGCCCCGGAACAATGCTGAGAACAAAGGATCGCATTAAAAGTAGGCTTCTGAAATCTAGCGACAATAGAATGATTGTTTGCAAAACTCACATAAGTCCAAAACCATTAACCCTCGAAAGAGTTAAAAAGCCCTGCGCTTTTCTACGTATCTAAATAATGATGATGTTTGTTGTCGTTCCTATTTATTTTTTACTCCGGGAATAGTTCAAAAGTTCCTCTTCGCACTTTTGTATAAATCCGAAATAAAATTATTACCAGCACTTGAGGGGTTATATTTCGTGAATTGTCTGGTCCGCGGTATCTTTGTTCGCATCAAAAAAAAAAATCTTTTTTCCCATACCTAAGGGGCTAAGACTGGTCTTATTGACTTAATCCCGCCCACCTTGGAACCCAGTATTTGCATGTTAAAAGACAAAAGTCACGGAAAACTCAATTATGTCAAGATAAAAATAATGCACGAACTGGTTGAGATTACAAAACAATCCTAGGAAGGGATGCCTTTGTAGTGAGCGCCGCAACGTTGGAAATGGGATTTGTTTGGGAAAGTGAGCATTTTTTAAAAGTCGATGGAGGGGCTACAGGATTGAAGAAGCTGAGGGAAAACTTTGGCCAAACTTGGAGCCTTTCTCTGTGCATGGATGAAAACCGAGCAGAATCCTGGAGGGGAAAAGTCCTGCAGAGGTCAAAATGCAACGTTTCCTCGCTTGGATTACCTTTTAATTCATAAGTTCAGTTGTAAGCAACGTTTTCTATTTTTATTTTTGGAAGTCCTGCCAAAAAACAAAAGTGTGGATGAGAGAAAATGGGGGAGTAAAATGCTATTGTGGATTACAACGACAGAAAAGTAAGGCACCTATGAAGTAAAAAAGTTGAATAAAACGAATAAAAGGGGAACGCACAATGGCAGAAAAGGAGCCGGGAAAGAAGGTAGCTGTGTATCGGAGCGTTTCTTTCAAAAGACTTGAAAGCTGGAGCGCAAATAAAACTCGTTCGGCAACTGATGATCAACAACACAAATCAAAAGATTTAGAGAGCGGCGCCCATCCCCCTCTAGCTACAGAAGGCGCAGTCGAGAAAGCGCAGCCCTCGGCTACGCGTAGTGTTGGTGTGTCAAGAAAAGTTTCCAAAATTTCAGCTGCCAACGTTTCGACCGCAGATTTTAAGAAAAACTCTCCTCACTCGATTTCGCCCTCGATACGCCAGCTTTCAGAGAAGTTTAACACCGCCACGGAGAGGACGCCAGCTCCGGCTCCTGTCAGTAAAGGGGTCTCCAAAGGCACAGCTCCGAACAGGAGTAAATCCAGGAATGAGGGACTTTTACAGAAGTTGCGGCAAGAGGAGAAAGGATATTTGCCGATCTCGGATAGAGATCCATTAGGGACTGCTGCGAGCAAAGCTCAGGCGGAGCAGGACTTAGTTTCTGAATCCGTTTTAACCCACGGGACAGTGAAAACTCACGGAGGGATTATCGACAGAACTGCGAATACAGGTACACCGAACTCAGGTAAGAAAGATTATTTTCCAACCGCTGCGCCGCCTGGCACGCCGACTAGTTTGACAAAGACCGTAACCACCGAAGATGATGTTTGTATCGAGGGAGCCTCGGCTGGCAAGTCGCAGCGTGACATTCTCACAGCAGACACCCCTTGTGTTGAAATGACCAACTGGCCAAGCGTTACAAAAATTAGAAAGCTATTTGGAGACGGCCACAGAAAGCCGCACAGGTCAACGTCTGACGCTGACGACCTGAAGTCTGCAAGTCAGCACTTCGGCTGTGTGAAAGAAAGTGCGCTGACAGATATAAGTGAGAGACAGTCGCCGCCACCGCCACCAAAACTTTGGCAAGCCAGCCCTGAGGATGATCGTGGTGTGTGCTGTGTGGACAGGAAGGACAGCGTTTTAAGTAACAAGAGGAGTACGGACTCGGATATGGACACTGTTTTCAGCACTAAACCCATCGATGAAGCTCAGTTTACCAGCCAGCAGCGACAGGACCAGCTCCCTGATGTCTGCAGAACAAGGAGTCCCAGTGAGAATGTGGAGAATTGGACTGCAAAGGTAAACAGTGACCCCAGGCCCCCTCCCCCAGTTCCTCCGCCCAGGAGCAGCTCTGTTCCCCTTTCCCTTAGAGCCCAGTCGCTTTCCTTTGGTTGGCAGCACAAACAGGAGGCAAGACAGCAATCAGATAGTTTACATTCTTTGCATAGCTCTTCCAAACCACAGGCTGCCCCCTCGGCTGCTCCTGCCTGTGATAAAGTGAGCTCCAGCGAGGAGGAGGATTCCTACCGCAGAGGTAGCAGAGGCAGCTTCCCCTTGACTCACAACAGCAGCGGCGCTGGCAGGAACAAAAATGGCTCCTGGGTCCGGCCCCCGGGGAGATCGTCTGGCAGCGAAGAGGATGGCCCGCCAGCAGTAGCCCACAACAAGGACAACGTTCGGCGGAAATCCCTGAGGAAAAAGAAGAAGAATGTGGGTGGGAGCAGCAACAATGGAGAGTCTGACGACAGTTATGATGAGCCGCTGATGGAGCCTTTTGAGAGACGCCAGTTCCCCTGCGACTTGGAGCAGTGGGTGTGTAAAGATGAAGTCCTGAGGCCCAGGTCTAGCTTGACAGCTGGAGTGGACCGCCCTTCCCTCGCTGGCCAGCCCCGGGACCACCACACGTGCCCTGCAGTGGAAGGAAGTTATTTCTTGCAGCGTTCTGGAGGACACGAGTTCTATAAGCGTCATTTCCAGAGCCCTTCGGTTGGCTCCTCCATTCCGCAGGTTTCCCGAGTGTCCAAAGTCAACATCTCTTCATTCATGCCCAGCCCTTGTGGCTCCCAGAGCAGTAGCAGGTATTCAAGCACAGAGACCTTAAAGGAGGAAGACCAGCCTTCGACTGGTTCTTCTCTGATGAGCAAAAGCTTTCATGGCAATTTCACCATGTACAGGTCACCCAGTTTCAGCCAGGGTGATTGTGTTCCCAGACCTCAGGTACGCGTACGACCAAAGCTGCCATTTGGTATCGTAAGAGTTCCCAGTGAGGGCTTGTCTGAGAACAGGAGCCCCCATGCCTTTGTCAACGAGAAAGCGAAACACAGGATGTCCGTGTCAAACCCCGACATTGCTTCAGAAACGCGCACACTGCTCAACTTCCTCAAAATGGATCTTTCTGATCTAAGGTATCGAAAGAGAGGGAAGGGTGGAGGTGATCGAAATGAAGCCGTTTGCAGCCAGCAGGCCAGTTACCAGAACACTTCACCTTCCTACAGAGTGGGCTCAAGGGCCCAGTTCCCTCCACAAGGGCGTCTTTCTCTTAAGGATCTGACCGCTACCTTAAGACGTGCCAAGTCTTTTACTTATTCTGAAAAACCAGTAGGGCGGCGACAGTCTGCCACTGGCACGATGAAGCAGAGTCCCTCTGAGCAAATGCTGGACACCTTGGGGGACAGATACACTGCTGTTCCCGACAGGGAAGTGCAGAGTGACGTCGGCCAGAGAAGTGATGGCTTTGACGATGAGTTGCTAAGCCCACTACGAGACCAGTACATACAAGAAGCTCGACAGGTTTTCAGAGATATCAGCCAGATGGGGGCTCAGCAGGAATATTATTGTGGTGTGGATTATAAGGAAAATGAATGTTTCAAAAGGGGGGAGGAAAAGGACCAAGAGGAGGAAGGTGGAGCAATCCCGGAAGAGAACAATAGCTCGGTTGTGGGAAATAAAAGAGAAAGTGTGAAAAGTTTAAAGAAGGTGGAATCGGATGAAAATATATTTCGTGAGAAATCGGTAGATGAGTTGTCTGGACACGAGTCCAGTTTGACAGATGAAGGAATTGTTACAGAGCCAGAGACTGGGCCTTGTGGGATTTCATCTAGCAAAGACATTCTGGGTAAGTCAGTAAAGGTGAGGAAGCAGTCGAGCAGTGGGCTTTATAAGGAAGATCTGACGGATTTGCAACCTGGGAAAATCATTCCTACGCCCGATCCAGTTGTTAGAACTGAATATGACGCTGTAGCAGTTGGGGGAGAATCCAACTATAATAAAAGTGTAAGTCAAGGGCCTCTTGAAGCTCCTTCAACACCCAGCGCAATCCGCCGAAGGAGAAAGTTTTCTTCTGCAGGAAACAATGGTTCAGACTCCAGCAATGGAAGCAATGGCGAATCGAGTGGGGAAGCCTACAGATCTCTCAGTGACCCCATGCCACACCGACGATGTTCTATCTCGGAAGACGCCAAGAATTTCTCGGTCGATAGCAACCTGCTGGGCTCACTCAACTCCAAGAACGGGATGCCAGAGTCTTCAGCCACAGATCTCTCTGAGTACACAGGCAGTGCTGCCAGTGACCTTTCAGTCTGCAGTGATGGGCTGAAGGATTACAGTACCGTCATCCAGAGCATTGTGAGGGAGCCTGGAGCCATGGATAAGTTGAATGACGAAAAGGGCAATGGAAAGACTGTGAAGAAGAAATCCTTTAGTGATCCCAGTCGCCGAGGGGAGTCTGACACACCTGGGTTCAAGGGCCCAAGTGAGCCAATCAATGAAATGGACCAATCCATCATACCATCCAGTAGTGAGCCAATCCTCTCTGAGCAGAGGGATGAGCTGGGGGAGCTCCAGGAACTGTACAGGCCTGACGCAAAGCTCCGCTCCCAATCCGAGCACATGTTGCCCTCGCGCCTCGAGGCGGATGCTTTGGAAGAGGCGCCGTGTTTCCCGTTTGACCCCAAGTTGGCGGAAGTCCTTTCTCCCCGCATGGCAAGACGCAGCTCCAAGAAACGAAACAATCGGGCCACGCATCAGGAGGGCAGAGCGCACCAACAACCGGATGATGCCGAGCACCTGCACCGGCTCCAGCCATCTCCCAAGCTCAGGCCTGCATCGAAACATGTCCGGCACGCCAGCGAGCCCGCCACTTTTGTCCCCATCGTCGCACCCGAGACGCACCTGTCCCAAAGCCATCCGGTTCACATCACTGTTCCCGAACCCTCCAGACCACCGCAGAAACCGTACCCCGTCGTCCAAGCTCCTTCTCTGGAGGACGTAACCAAGCAGTATATGTTGACTTTGAACACTGTCGATACACCTGTTCCCGTAACCCCAGAAACCTCTAGGTCAACACCTGCTACTCCAACCACAGGGGAAGCGAAGCTCCTGAGGAAGGCCAACGATGACCTGAGCTCTGCAGCTCAGAAGAGCAAACCCCAAGTGGTGAGTACCAAGCTTTTGTAAAGTTTATTGTGCCACTTTTTGAGTAACATCACTGTGTGTGAAAGCATCCCTGTTAGGCTCAGCTGAAAGTTGCAAAAGTTTGTTTCCCCCTTAAAGAATGATCTTTTCTTCTTATGCTTTTTACTGCTCTTTCTAGTGTCATGGTGGGACCGGACATGATGTTTAATGTGCACCTTTTGACTACTAGACCCAGAATACAAGGGTGATGCAAGCTGATAAGTTAACAGAATTTTGGTTTTGCAGATGCAGACAGAGAAAATCAAATGAGAAACTTGAATTATAAAAGAGCCATTTCTTTTAATTTAATTTTATATTTCATCTTTAGTCTTTGTAGTCTTCCGTTGTTTCAGAACCCTTTTAATTTGAATGTTAAATGCTAAGAAGTCACCATTTATATGGTTTTTGCTAGGCACGAGCAAAGATATTAATAAAATGGACACTAAAGTTATTAGTCTTGTTAGAAGACCTCAGGAGTTCAAGCCAATTTACACTTTAGAGTAGGTTTTTAATGTGGTAGCATTCCACCTTAGAATCCAGATATTTGAATGTGTTAGGATTGTTTTTTATCTTGAGATGTGAGCAAGGATGAGAACAATGAATGAGAACAAATGTTCTTAATGATTTCTATGTGTTGCAGAAGATCCTGCTTGCTCCATCTCTTACCTGGTTTTGCTCTAAAGCATTGCTCTTGTCTTCCAGTCTTCCAGTATGAAACCTTTCATTTGTTAGCATAACATTAGCGTGTATTAAATTCTGTTACCACTGCTTGCTGTTACCACAGTTTATATGTAAAAGTCATGTTTTTAACTGAAGAGAGATAAATCTTTTGGTAAGGTACAGCTAGTAGATGCTGCCTCGGACTTTAGTTATAGAATACAAAAGCAATGTGAAGGAAGATGATTGCTTGCGCTGGTAAAAATTCAAGCTCCACCCGGTGTACAGCTGAAACAGGTTTTAAGGGTTTCTTGCATGATGTAGCTGTGTAATATAACTGATCTGATGTATATGCCTTCTGATAATTTCTGATCGATAATAAATAAATAAAACTGACTAAAAACAAAGAATCTCTCAGTTAGAATTCCTTCTGAGGAAACTGTATTTTCTTTAAACGAATGCTATGTGTAGGGAGCAGTTATAGTTTTTTTTATCTGTTACAGCACTGATTCGTGTTAAGATTATACCTGTTTGTACTAGTACCTCAGAACGCGGATGGAGAAACTTAATAATAACACCAAGCCATTACTGCTAATAGCTGTAGGCATGGATCCAGCACCTAATAGCTACAACACCTCATGTTTAATATTTACTTCAATATCTAGCTGACAAAGGCAAGTCCATTGTCTTGCAAGACTACTATTCATTAAAGAGGTATACAGTAGATGGCGAGCCTTGGTTTGTGTTAAAGTAATTCAAATACACCAGTCTTTGATTGTATGAGTAGTTTTAAGGTGCATTATAGGAGAATTTCAACTAAATGTGCCACAAAAAACAGAAGTGCTATGTTTACACTTTAAATTGAGAGATCTTTACAATTTAAATAACACATAACAGGTTTCCCCTTTTTTAGGACTTATTTACTGGGATCTTAAAATATACAAGATGAATAGTACTGAAAAATTCAAATGAGGTCAACCAAACAAAGCTTAAAAAGACCACTGGCCTTTAAAAACTGGTAAGAACTCCAAGAAATACAGCTGTGGAACTTGGTTGGTTGCATTAAAAAGAGAAAGGGAAGAGAGCCCAGTTTAACCACTCCGTCAATAACGCTGATCAGATGTGAAGTGCTCTGTGCAGGCCACATGGAGCACACATTGTCAAACCGACCTGGTTTTAAGATGTACTGTACAAAGAAATGTAGGATTCATTTACCTGAACATTCAAAGATGTTTCTTCACTGGTCAATTGCAGGAAGTTCAGGGGCTGGATGAGCATTTTGTCTGTGTGATTATGAGATTTTTTGTGACTTGAGTCATGCCAATGTTATGGTGAGACAACAGACAAGGTGCAGCTTTTATCATTTTTTTTGTAGTCATACAGAGGAATATGTCCTACGATTCTGTAATGCGCAAGCTCATAGTGGTGATCCTTTTTCTTAGCTGCATGGCGAAAGCAGATTTTATTGATTTTTATGTTTTGCACTGCCTTTCACAGCATTGATCAGTGTAGGCTAATCACAGTGTTGACCTGATTTGAACTCCGCACTCACTTTCCTTTCTAGGAGGCTCAGCTAGCGGACTATAAGATTGTTCATGAGTTAACAGGTCTTCAATAGGCAGAGAACAAAGGACCTCCCTTATGCAGTCTCTGAGTGTAGTTTAATAGGAGTGTAGTGTTAGCACAATAAACTAGGTTATTTTTGTGCTGCCCATTTGTTGATCCTTTTATATGGAGGTCAGCTTTAAGGTCAGATGTTGCACTTGGTATATCAGGTGAATATGTGCTTTTAATGAGAATGTTGTGTATACTTACAGTATTTTAACAAACTCTCAGCCCCTCACAACACAACATTTTCTGTCCTAGCAGGAATATTAGGCCTTGATTTTTGTATGGTATTTCATGACGGACAAAGGAACTGTACCGTTTATTTGTTGATCCGTATTCTATGCAGTAGAATAAGTTTGTGTGTCATGGGAAATGCTGATTGCATCTTTGTGAAGAGCTGCACTCAGTGTGAACCTTTGAGTGCATCATTAAAACTGAAATGTAATGGCAAGTTGGCCTGCCAATTGTTGAGCTTTGATGTTTAGAATGTCTATATTGTTTCTTCTTTAGTTCCTGTGGACAGGAGTCAGTTTTATAAGTATTGGTCTGTTTGTTTGGAAGACTGTTTTGGGAACGTTATCATTGGGCCATGCGGAACGGAGCTGCATGAAAAAATGTCACTCCCTGTATTTTTTTTAATTCGCTCATCCATGTCACCATTGCATTGCACACTCAGTGCAAAAAAGCAGGTTGCAAAGCCAACCTCTGTGGAGGGAGACTTGTTTAGAAGAAAGGATTAATGACCAACTAAATCACTCCTCCTTGTATTTGCCGGGGTTGTTTTGCTGGTGGTTCACATGAATTAACTCCTCTTTTGCTCCTCTGTGTGAGACATTCACCAAAATTGATTTTCTCCCCTTTAGTCTGTTCAGCAAATGTGGGGAAAAAAACACTTGGATTAAAAGAAGCCTGTGGGGCCAAGCGGATATTTCCTCACTTTAGGAAATGCATACAGAAACAAAACGTGGTTTTGATACAATTTTTCAGTGCTGTTTAAATAGTTATTTTGTATGATTTTTTTATGCTTTCTTAAAATGTATTCAGTAATTGTCTTTTTTTTAGTATCTCACTATGAATCACGCCTGTCGGTTGGCAGATATATCCCATAAAGAGATTTAAATCCCTTTAGTTATTGATTCTGTTGTCCCAGAGTAGGAATACATAGCAATCTGTAGATTAAATTAGCATTTTCTGTGTCGGGTTAGAGAAATTGACAAAGGTCATCCTTCTTGTAGACCATTCCATGATGCAGTTCTTAAAGGTGAGCAAACTTTTGCTTGTGGTCATTTTGCAGGTGTGATATTTGTATGGTATATTTAGTTTTGACTTTTGACATGACTAAATGTAACATGCTGAAGTAGCTGAAATGAAATCAACAATCTCTCTTAAAGATGTGCTTTTTTATTTATTTTATAATAAAGAAATGTAAACCGGATCCAGGATAAATCAGATTGTTTTTTAAATCTTGGCGACTGTCTCATGACAAAGATGGAAGAGCCCTAGAGCTGATGCTCATCAGCCTGCAAATAGATTCACTGCTTCCGAATAGCTGCATCTTCCATTCCCTGATCCAGAATGTCTGAGACTATTTAATAAGATTTTTCTTGACCATATGCAGTTTCTTGTAATAGGAATTTGTCTTTCACATACCCCAGCTTGCTCTACATGAGACACACAAACAAGGAGAGAAGCTTGGGGTCAGAGTGCAGGGTCAGCCATTTATACAGCGCCCCTGGAGCAGTTGGGGTGAAGGGCCTTGCTCAGGGGCCCAGTGGAGTAGGATTCCTCTGCAGGCTGCGGGATATGAACCAGTAATCTTCCAGCCACAGGCGCAGATCCTTAGCCACAGAGCCCCCCCCTTTTTAACAGCGTCATGAATGTTGTGTATTTTGAAATTATCCGAAAGGTTGTCCCTCCTTGCTTATGTTTTACAGGCTTTTGAAGCCAAGTAAGTGACTAGAGCCTAAATCTGTTGTCATTTATGGTTCCCTCTCTCGGAACCAGACAGACATCCTCCTGTTTGCCTTTCCCTCATGAGGCGTTATCATGTACAGTAGGTCTTCACACCATTGTCCATTGAAGAGCAAAACTGCAAGCACGAGAAAACTAGAATCTTTGTTTTTTCAAGTACATCTTCATCATGCATGTACTGTACAGTGTTTCCTTGTAGTGATGGTGAATAGCAGTGATCTTTCCCTTTTAAACTATGGATTTATTCCAATGTCTGATGAGGGTCAGGGGTTAAATTGTCTTTTGCGATCCTAGCCTTTTCTAATTTGCAGAATTGATTCTTTATTAACACGATGCCTTGAAGAGACGGTAAGAGCAGGCAGGAATGTCAAAGGGGTCAAGGAGGCTTTTACAGTATATTGGTTTTGTTTTCAATGTTGTAGTTGTCAGTCTTCTTTCTGAAAATGTCTTTAACGGTCAAATTTGAATTAGAGTTTAGGAGGTGCAAGTAGCTCCATTTTATTATTCATTTTCATCATTTTTGTTTTGTTTGATCGTGTCTCCGCTTAATACCATTTGTGCTAAGTTTCGTCTGGATTGTGTCACTTGCAAAGTAAACAGACCCTTTTCAGTATAGTTTTGAGAGGAAAGCCGCAGTCAGGTACCAAGAAAAGTTTTTTTTTTCCTTTTGTGGTTAAGAAGCCTGCTACAACTTCCACACCAAAGACCATAAAATACTGTGTATTAGGTACTTTAAACATAATTGA